GTCCAAGGATCAACAGATTGCCCAATACGTGAATCAGATGCTCAAAGTTCATGCAGAAGGCCTTGATGGCATGTTTTCATCAACTTCGAATTGGCATGGATCAACTTTGCATGCCAATTCGCACCCCGACGTAAGTGTGAACTGGATTTTTTCAAGAGGGGACTGGGTGCTGGATAGCATCTCTACAATGTTTGAATACCTGACTGGCGATCTGAAGTATGACAGAGCGGCTGGGCAGGTACTGGCGGGATGGCCGTCGGCTCAGACCGGCGGATTATCACCACCTCTTGACGACATTCTGGATGAAGCTCTACGACTGAAAGTTAAGCTGCTCGCAGCTACAGCTTTTGTGGACTGGGACCTTGGTGGCGACCTAAATTGCTGTGGTGTTGCCGCACCATGATCAATTGCTAGAATATCATCCCAAGAGCATCGTGATAGATTCTCTTTTGCGCACGGCAACATTAGTGGGATTGACAAGCGACGATATTGCATCAGCTTCTGCCGACGTGTCCAAGGGTTTTGTGCAGCGGAGCTTTAACACTGCAAGTTTGGACGAGCTTCCAGACTCCATCACAGGCGAATTGGAACATCTTCGCCAGTCTTATCGGGAACTCATGTTAGCGGTACATGCTCTTTCAAAAGGCATTGCGGCAATTCGCACGGAATCAAAAGTTACGAACCAGCAACTTCTGAGGGCGGTGCTGGCAGCACCCCGCGCAGCTACTAATTCTGCAACGGTATTTGAGTCCCCCGACACATCCACACAACCAAACCAAGCAGAAGCCGTATCTACAGCGGTTTCGCTTTCGTTCCCAGCCGATTTGACTGGTCTCCGCGACATGCCCTTCGAACAGGCCTATTTTCGGTACATCGGACACAATTTGGCGCTATGCGGTGATTCCAGAAAGATGAACCCAAGTCTGCAAATGATGAAGCAAAAGATTGACTTTATTACAAAAGTGCTGCCCGATGCAGGCGAGTTCCCACCGCGCCCGGAACCGGGCACGGCGGAGATTGAGGAATGGATCGATACTATACGTCAAAAAGCCACGAAGGTGCGCAGTGACGTGGTATGTTCTTAAAGAGTCCTGAACCAAAATCAGAATCAGCTGCCGGGACGCCGGCACCCGCGTCGAAGAAAGTCAAGGCATCGCGCGCACCAAA